CCAAACCTCCTGTCTTTCTTCTTCATGTCAGTGTCTCTCTAACTTCTAAATGTTGTTCTGTCAGCAATGTTATATATGGAAGAAGTCATCTCTAACTAGTCAAGTAACTCTGACACTTTAAGCCTTTTTGAGAACTTGTAGGATTCTTGGTTTAAAAAAAATACTTCTCTTACATGTCCTTCTAAATCTAAAACAAACTACAAAATAATGAACATAATGGCTATATTTTACAGATATCCCTAGGAAAATAGACAGTACATATTGAATAAAATTGAAATAACAAAGTAAAAAGTATTTCAGTCTAGCTGCTGCTCTAAAACCTAAATTCTATCACTTTTCACTTGGAGTCTTTTGAGTTTCTCTGTTATCAAATTTTGAAATAATGCAGATTAAGCTCTCAGAAACTATAATGTGTGTTTGTATACAAAACATTTCAGTGAATGTTTGTATGGCAAAGCTAGTGAATATACAGGATCCAAATATGCAATTATTGTGGTGAACATAAAGGCCATATAATTATAGGCTTGAAACACAGAAAAATAAAAATATAGATAAGTAAAATATATGAAAATTAAATTTTTCCTAGTTTCTAACACGTTAAGTGCCCAGTCAGTCACCGGTGAAAAACTGGCCCAGAAGACAAAACAGGTTGGGCGCGTAACGTGCTAACGTTTGTTTTCCATGTAAAAATACACTTACTACAGTTAATAAAACATATGCCCTTGACCTAGCAATTTCAATGTCAGATGAATAATAGAAAGAAATATGCCCAGTTTTATTGGTGTGTATCAAGACATTTGCGGTAGAATTATTTTGTGTAGCATAAAAATTGGAAACAAAATTAATGCCCACAAATAAAACAATATTTGAATGGAGTAGAATACGAATTTTTTAAAAAATTGAATCCATTAAAATGAATTAATTAGAATTAACCCAGTTAATGTGCATAGATAAATAAAAATATAGATAAAATATATGAAAATTAAATTTTTCCTAGTTTCTAACATGTTAAGTGCCCAGTCAGTCACCGGTGAGAAACTGGCCCAGAAGACAAAACAGGCTGGGCGCTTAACGTGCTAATGTTTGTTTTCCATGTAAAATACACTTACTACAGTTAATAAAACAGATGCCCTTGACCTAGCAATTTCAATGTCAGATGAATAATAGAATGAAACAACAAAATCAACTTATATGCGCCAAGTTAAGATAGTAGTGATCTGCATTAGTTAATCCCTTTGCGGAAATAACTCAAAGAACAAGGGAATACAACATGGAAACAACAAAATCAACTTATATGCGCCAAGTTAAGGTAGTAGTGATCTGCATTAGTTAACCCCTTCGCGGAAATAACTCAAAGAAGAACAAGGGAATACAACATGGTGAAGCAGGAATTTGGGGTAACATAGGCAGGCTTAAGGTTTTTTAGAATTGGGGTTCATGGAAGTCACTATACTAACCAATTCGAAGGGGAATACTGACCAATCAGAGGGGATATCAGGACACAGGCACTGCAGCCTTTATAAGCCACGGGGGAAAAAGAACTCAGTGGGACCCTTTCCCCCTCCCTACATGGGAATTCATTCTGTGGGACTCTTCCTCCTCCCTATCAGGCAGTCTGTACTTGTTCTTCAATAAACCTCCACCTTTGCTATACTGCTTTCTGTCCGTGGATTCATTCTTCAATTCCAGTGCACAAAAAATCCGGGTTCCAGTCCAAAAATTCTGTATCAATGGTACCTCAAGCTCCCAACTTGGAAATTTGAAATCTCCCTTTCACTTTACTTTTTCTATTCCTAAGGAAGAGGAGTAACTGATCTACTTGGTGGTGCCAGAAAATTCTATTGGCTACTTGCTAAGCTGAACTGCTTCCACAAAGTCTGATGTATGAATTCAGCTCCTGGGAGATAGTCCTTTTAGATATTCTTAGTTCCAAGAGCCTTGTAAACCAAAATTAATTTTAGACTGTAATAAAGAATATATAGAGCACTTATTTGAGAAAAAAGGAACTGCAGCCCAGGAGACACAGATTCAGTAGCAACAATTTAAATTGAGTTCCAAAGGCAAGGCAGTCTTTTATAGGCAAATTTCTCACCCAGGTTCTCAATTAATCCATCTTATGAAGTATCTAAATTGTGCAGGTCTGATTTTAAGGGTCTCATTCTACTGGAAGCAAGACAAAACTCACATGGCATAAATAAGCGGGACATAATGTGGGAAGTGAGAGTTCAGTCTGAGGTTCGTTTTTCTATACAGTCTGTGAGAAGCCCCAGTCAGCAAATGGCCACCATGCTTTCAATGTTTTAAAATATGTTTTTATTGATTTAGGTAGAGAGGAAGGGAGAAGGAGAGAACTCCTTGGAGTTCACATCAAATGAATCTTTGCTCTTGGGGTCCACAGTCTGGAAGGATAAGGGCTGTTACCTGGTAGACAGTCCCTGGGCCACTGTTTTCTCTTCCTGCTGTTCCTCCCTGGTAATGAATGACTAATAATGACTAATGAATGACTCTATTAATGTTGTGAACATTTATTAATATGCACTATGTCACTTAATTCTTTAAAAATCCTTACCAAGAGAGCATTACTAGTGCTCCCATTTTGTACATGAGAATGAATGAGCTTAACTCTTAAGTAACTTAAGGTTATTGTGATTTGTAAATGTTACAGTGGTAATTAGATCACGTCTGTTAATCTAAAAAAAAGTCTATCAAAAGCAAACAAAACAAACATGCTTAGCAAGAAACTTTTTTTCTCTTTCTGCTTGATTTTTAAAAATTTTTCTCTGAAACTTTTAGGTACACTTTGGATTGAGATTCAAGACTTGATTAAAGGTATGTGAAAATAGACCAAATGGTCCTTTCAGCTTGCTCTGGGTTGAGCATTTGTAGCTCCCTACAGAGTAATGGGACTATTCCACACCACCCACCCAGTTACTGGAGTTTCTTACTGGGGTTAGAGACCAAGACCTCAGACACAAATATAATTTCTCACTTTGTTTTACTCCCTTGTATTCCAATGCCAAGAATTTCACAGAGTGTGGTGACTTTGGGGGCATAGGTTGAGTATTTTTGTACCTACTGGGCAAAATAATCTTAATATAGCTTCTTTAAACAATTTTATTAATGAGGTGACATTCAAGAAGCATAAAATTAACTATTTTCTAGTGAACAAATCAGTGACATTTAGTATATTCAAAATATTGTACACAACCACCTCTATCTAGTTCCAAAACATTCTCATCACCCCATGAAGTGACCCTGCACCTACTGAGCAGCTATGCCCCTGGTTCCTCTCTTTTTCCAGGTTGTAACCCACCCTAGTGGTGACTCTTTATACCCTGAATTAATAAAATTACCAAAAGGATAATTAAAATTTCTGGGCTTATTTCTTTATCTATACATTTGAGATTGTATACTCATGCCACAATTTAATTGTGAAGAATAAATGAAATAACATATGTAGGGAACTGACACAGTACCTGGGACATTGTAGACCTCGAGTAAAGATAAGATTTCCCCCTTCATACGCCTTTACATGTATTTATTACTGCACATTGAGCAGAGGGCTCTTTCTTTGCAATATACTCAATGTCACTTTAGGAACATCTCCCTGCTTATACAAAGTTTTTGGCACAGTATGTAACTTATCCTTCAAACCGCTGTGAAGGGCAAAGAGAAAGGAGTAGGACAAAGAGAATAAAAATGGGAAGCAAAGGCAATTATTTGATTTTTAAACTAACAAAAGGAAATCGAGGGCCACAGAGTGAGTATGCTGAGCAAGAGCCAGGATGGAAACCTCGTTTTACTGACTTTCAGCTCAACCCCTTTCCAGTTGGCTACACTGCACTAAATGAGCTCCTTGACAAAGGCATCTCTAAAATATGAAAGGATGCTAAGAGGGTGGTTCATGGGGGGAAAATTGAAATTTCCTAAAGAACAGTCTCTCGTCATTAGAAAGTCACTTTCTAAAGTCAGCACCGCACAGCAGGGAGGCTTTAGGGCCTTTCATTAACTTATAAATGAAAGCCAGAAAAGCAGAACGTGTAGAAAAGACCTGGAAAGTTTGAATGCATGGCAAACAATGAGGCAGCGAAAACCAGGTTTCTAAGAAAGGAAATCATTGGAAGAATGCCAGGGAACTGAATAATGCTAAAGTGGAAACTAAGAAAAACCTGTAACTCCAAC